TCATTCCTAAACTTTCCTAAAGCGTTTCTGCAGCTCCCAATACACCCCAACAACCGGCGGAACACCGCGCACACGCACATTAGAGCCTTTCTATATGCACTTTTGATCCGTGAATGCGCTTGCCGAACAGCAGAGATATGCCAATCACAATTTGTTGAATCCAAGGCATCGGGGCAAAATGATTGTGCAGGTGGGAAGCATGCTCGTGTTCAGCCGGATTGCGTAGGGTCAGTTGCAGCACCAGTGTCGTGCTTTGCCGCTGCCACATAAGAAGTACTTGTTACTGAGAGCGTAATATTACCTCCTATTTCATGCAAACAATTAGCTTCGTGTCGCCCAGCCACTCAAGCACTGATATTGCGCGTCGGGAGAAGGTATGTGAACACCCTCAACTAGGTTGCAGTGAAAACATTCAGGCGAACGGAACAGAGCCCTTAAGACTCAGTGGCAATACAAATGAGAGTGTTGCGCAGCAAGGGGCTGCTGGCCGGCTGCGGCATCAGCAAACCTACGCGTCCCCTTCACATGCCACTTGTTGTGTTTTCTTTGTTCTCGGGGCTACGCTCGATGAAGCACAATAGAGCATGTGTTGTTTGGGAAACAGCGCATGCTCCGTATGAACTGGGTATGCGTGTTTGTACTTGCGTGCAGGCCGGATATGGAGGCCGATGTACGTGTTAATCAGTTGTATACACGGCTACTGCATGCATATATAGAACGTTTGCGAATGCAAACGTTCTATAAGTGTATTCAGAGGTAAAACATGCAGCAAACGAAGCTTTTTTGAAGCTTCCTTGGGTGCACGCGTGAGGCTGGCTTGTATTCCCGGCCGCAACGACTAGCGTTGCAACCCCATTTCAGGTTGCCTCCTCCCCGCAACACCAAGGCCTGAGCTCAACGCCCAGGAGGCCTGAGGAGAGGGAAAGGATGTCAACTGCTTTTGAAACTCTTGGTTTAAGTTTGTACCTACACTGCAGCTCATCTCTGCCCTTGATTCAGGCCAGAAAGCAAGCGCTACAAGCAGCGCATTGGCCTGTTATATGCAGGACGCCTGGGGGTTGTAACGAAGGCCCACTGCCTGTTGTGATCTCAAATAACTCAAGAAAGTGTTTTTTTGTAGAATTTCTTTAGCTGATTGCAACTGGCAACGCCTCTAAACTAAGATCTAAGAGCTTCGCTGCAGTGCACCCACCGAGCCTCCTGTGCTGCCGTGAGCCTCACCGGCGGCCAGCTGCTTTCTGCGAAACCTGGCCCCGCGTATTGCGGCTCAGTTCGAGGTTACTGGGATACTGGGTGAATGTCGAAGACTTTTCTTGCATGCGTGTTAGCGATGGGTGTGCAGAAAGGAACGGAAACTACACGCCATGTTATCTCGTTTATATTTATATTCGACTTAAACTCCACGTATTTACAATTTAAATTGTTTGTTTTATCTAATTACCCAAACAGGAGGGGTATACATACACAACACGTGGGCCCCAGCCAGAGTCGGCAGCCCCGCCGGGTGTACACTACAGAGGGCCCCTGAAGGCAGCAACAACCTTTGGGCTTAAGTATCCAAATTATTGGAATTTTATCTCGAAATTCGAGAATAAAAACTTGAAATTTCAAGGAAAGGCTGCAAAGGTCGTCGCGATGATCGTAGGCGCGCCCCTTCCGGCGTTT